TATCTCAGTATATCTTATTCAACACAATTTTATAATGAAACATAAAAATAAGAATATCAGGTTTTAAAACAGAACCCTAATATGAAAAACAGGGCTAAGTGTAAACGTTTTGACCTTGTCATTGTGTTTTATATCATTTGAGCAGATCTACTGATGTAACTAGTGTTGGGCTCATACTGTAACTCACATTACACTTTAAAGTAATGTGTTAAATTACTTATCACTTTGAGTGAGTAATCTGTTACACCATGTGTTATATTACTTTTGTGCTGTCCATAACAAGGCCTGAAACGCACTTTGATATAATTACCGTTTAACAACATGAACCTCGACAGCAGTCGCACAGAGTGACATAAATCTTCATCTTAACAACAACATCAGAAGTACAGACAATCTGTATTAGATGTACAGATTCTAGGGTTAAAAAATACTGTTATGTGATTACTGGAAAGGTAATTAGAAAAGTAATGTGTGACATTACTGTGCTACAGCAAAATGTAATGTGATTACACTAATATTTTACAAAGTCATGTGTTAGACCAAACCCTCGTTATAACTCTGGTAATTAAATGGTGTTTGTTATTCACTTTATTCTGTCTTTCTCTCCTTCCAGTTATTGTTTTTTATTATCCAATTATCACCCCTGTTGAGCTGTACTGTAAAGTACTAATGTTAACATTAACTTAATATGAATTTGAAAAACTATATTATCTTATAATCTCTGCCATCTCTCAATGGAAGTTGCCAATAACTTCAAGGCTGCAGCTCCAGGAGGAACAACAGAGGAGGGAGGATGCTGAAAATAAACTTGGCGACCTGCAGAACGATAAAGAAAAGGTTGATATTTGTCATTTGTTATATGTTTTGTGTGTCTTTGTCTATTACAAGCTGTGATGTCTCTCCCTCCTGTCTGCAGCTGGAAAATGAGCTCCAGGATGAGAAGAAGAGGAATGTGGAACAAGAGGCAAAACTCAACGAGGTACATTTTTCAAACATTTTTTTCATCTTTATTTTATCTTTTTACATTTAATACTAAAACTTTTACTAAACATATTTTACAACTTATAAACTGTTATTTCATTATTGTGTCTTAAACATGAACATTTCTTCCTTCTGCGCTTTCTTCATGTAACATTTCACCTGCAGTGGAAGAAGAATACTGAAATCATCAATCAGCTCCAGCAGGAGAAAAAAGCAGCAGAGAAACTGAAGAAGCAGCTGGAGGAGAAAAATCGTGAGGTTTGTGTTTCCATTATAAACATTCAGAATTTACTGACCCAACTCTCTTTATCTCTGTATTGTAAAGAGTTATGGAGGAAACTTTAGGAATTAGAACAAAATGATCAGGCTCTTAATTCTATATAGTACAATCATTCAATTAATCACTCACATATAAAAAAATTTGTTTTTTCATCTCATCTCTCTAATTTTATCTTCTCAATTGCAGCTTTCTGACAGCATCAGTGAGCTTAACAGTGAGAAAAGTATGAGGGAGAGTGAAATAAACACCATCAGGGATCAGCTTGAGTCCAACAAACAGGAGGTTCATTTCATCATTTGATACTCAGCTGTCTGTCACTGTCATATGAAACATATTTAAACATGTCCAGCATGTTCTTCATCTGCTAAATAATTTTTCATCACTGGTGGAGAACCTTATTGTCTCCAGGATCTAAAGGATCAATTCTGCTCCAGCTTTTTATTGAGCCAAAAAGCTGCTGTTTCAAACAGAGGTTATGTTAACCAGTTATAGAGAGAAAGGACCAGGGGAGCACAGAAAATTCATAGAAATATCACCACTTGCCTCAACATTGACATAATTTAGAGCAAACATGAATTATGCAGCTTGCTGTTGTTCATTTTGTTGAATTACAGCTGTGCGTCAGGCTGCTGTGTGACACATCCTGCAGACATGTGTATGTTTTGCTGTCTTTGAAGGTGCAGCTGATGGAGAAGAGCAGAGACACTCGTGTGAAAAATATTGACCCTAATCTGAGCGTCATTTATTGCATCAACTCACAGTTCATTATGCTGTAGAACACGTTACATGTATTTCAATATTAACTCTGAGGCACTGTGGTTGCAAAGATGTTGTTCACAGTGTGAAGCTTCAATAATTTTGTCACTTTTATCAACAAAGCGCTGCAGAAACATCAACATCTGTCTGACTTTATTTCTGACAGATGATCAAATCCGAGAGGGAGAAGGATGAAATCATTACGAAGCTGAGGCAGACGATCCTTACACTGGAATCAAAGGTATCTGAGTATACAAAGATCAACATGGACATATGTGATGGCTGTCATACTCCCGATGATCAGACCTGCACACTCTCTGTGACTTTCTGTGAAGTGGTTGGTAGCACAGCAGCTGAAGTGATGTGTTTAATGTGATCAACCTGCTACTTTCTGACTTTCTGTTGAGAAACAAGAACAAGAAACAAAAAGTGTTAATTTAAGAGAGGTGTGATTTCATTGTATTATGATCTTTTAAAAGAACATGTGTGTAGTCTGTTCTTATGAGTCTTTTTCACTTTTTCTTCAGCTCCAGGAGGAGAAACAGAGAAGGGAGAAACCTGAGAAACAAGTTCAGATGTTGCCAACTGAAACAGAGGTTTGTGTTTTTAATTTGGTCATGAGCCACTTACCTGTTGTCAGCTTTGATCTCTATCTTTATGACACTAACCAAGAAAAATTAAACCATCAATGACAACAAACATGAGACAACAATGGAATTAGATTACTAGTGACAATGAAATCCAGTGTAATTAAGCAATATATAAATCAAGATTAGTTTAATGTATTTGTTGTTCTTTTAATCCAGTTTGATAAAGATTTGATTTTTTGAATTTATGTTTGAATTCTTTCCCCCAAAAAGATGACAGCCTCCCTTAATAACAGGTTTACTGACTAATGTCTGATCAAATCTTTTATTTTATAAACAGAACTTAAATATGATTTAAAGGGTATCTCCTTATAGGTTTTGAAGAGATAAAGAGTAAAGAAAATGATGCTTTTAATTTCAACAGGCAAATTTATTTATTTGTTTTACTTTATTTACATTCGTTCTTTCATGTCTCCCATTTTTACTTTTTTCATGTGAGAAAAGGCAGCACATTGAGAGGAAAGTGGAGAAACTAAAGGAAATATTTAAGTTCAAAACGCAGGAGTTTCATCTTATCATTATCAATTTCTGAAATATGAAGTGCTAGGAAGGAAACTTTAGTAATGTAATCTTTATTTTATAAAACTGTTTTGTTAATGTGCAATTTCTACACACTGAAGTTGATAAAGAAATCAATGATTTCAATAAATGTATGACATAAAAATGTTTCCATAGTAGATAAGCCTGAAATATTGAAAAGGGGGATAAAAGAAGAAAGAAAAACAAAAGTCACACATCTTAAAAAAAGTCTCTTTCTCAGTTTAATGTAAAGTGCTGGAAGAGAAACTTTGGTAAGAAATGTCTGCACATCTGACTGTTTCTGTACACTGAAACAGATGAAAAGTACAAATTTTACTTTTCAATTAATAAAAATATTTTTATTGTAGATACCAAACCCATAATTAATATGTACCAATTCTTCAGCTGAGTGATGCAGTTGTAAACCAATGTTGGTATAAAGGAGTATTATTATTAATATTTTTGATATAATGAAAATAATTTAGACTGTGTCATGTATCTAAGCAGTGTCTGTAAAGCATTTATTTAAATGCACAATGATATGCTCAAAGCAAAACAATCAGAAACTTAAAAGCACAAGAAAACTAAACTAGGAAACATAGCACACTATTCAAGATCAAAGCAATAATACATAAAAGAAAAAGTCTAGAAGACTAAACACTGGGTCAAAGACCATGACAGCAAGTGTATTATCTGGTCTCATGAGTCTTTTTATTCAACTCCAGGAGGAGAAACAGAAAAAAGAAGAAACTGAGAAAAAAGTTCAGACCTTGCCGATCAAAGCAGAGAAGGTTTGTGTTTTTAATTTGTTCACCAGTGAGGAGCGCACACGTATTATTTATTTAGGTTTGAGAAAAGGAACTCTAATTACATGGTCAGGAAATCCAACGCCAACAAAGAAAACAACCATTTATTATTAATTAATGATCTGATTAAATGTCAAATAATAATAAAAAAATGTCTGTCTACTTTAAGGAAGAAACAAATCTAAAAAAAATTCAAATTCATTGTTAATTAATATATTTCACCAATTTTTAAAATTTAAACTAAAGGCATCTGTGACTGTGTTGTGTAATTACTCGTGTGCCTTAAAAACAGCATGTCTCACATTCCTTAATGCTTCTGACTTGCAGATTTCTCACATCAAGAGTCCGTCCAAGCAGAAGAAAAAGAGACTGAAGGAGCCTCAGAAAGAAGTCAAGGCACAGCCCAAAGATCAGTGCTGTGCTTTCTGATTTGATTTTTATTTTTAAAGAATTAGTTTAAATTTATGTTTACATCAACAGCTGGTGAGACAAAGCAAATTGCAAGGCACCCATATGTGTGTGTGTGTGTACGACAGAGAGCAATTTTAAAATGTGTAACTTTAATGCTGTTATATGCACCAACTGGTCGCAGCAGATGTCCACCCCCTGAGCCTGATTCTGCTCTGATTCAGGTTTCTTCCTGTTAAATGGGAGTTTTTCCTCCCCACTGTAACCAAGGAACTGGACTCACAGGTTTTTTTGTTTTTTTTATTGTTGGGGTTTTCTTTGTATTATTGTACGATCTTTACTTGACAACAATGTTCCCTCTAATTTTTCACGTGTCTGAGCGAACACACAAACTCCCTGAGCGGTCCCTTGGACCACTGTGAGCGACATCAGACGTGTGCACTGTGGTCACGCCGGCATCTAATCCATCCAAGTTACATGGTTTATTAAAATAATCAAATTACAGCATTTACATTTATGTTAGACTACTTTTAATTAACTGCTTTAGCCCACTTACAATGAAAATGTAAAAAAAATCTTGTTCATGACCTGTGTAGTATGTTAACACTATTGGAAGTAAAAATAACTTGAACTCCAATTTCGAAAACACAACTTTTTTTTTTTTTTTTTTTATAAAGCTCTGACTTGTATTATGAGTCTGTGGTCTGGGAGAGAGTCTGTAATCTCTGTCTGCAAAATATAGTATATAATGACCAATGCTGGGCAATTAATTATATAGTTACTTCTTCAAAAAAGTAACTCAGTTTGGCAAACAAAGTTTTTTGCAGCTATTTTTTTAAATGCAGCCAAGGCGTTTTTAAATAAACATTTCAAACTATTTACAGAACAATCAGCTGTTCTGCATCAAATTTGATGCCACACAAATTATTTGTGCCACTCCAAAAATAATTTCTGTCCACTATGAGATAAAGGAGAACAACAGCCTGATACCTGCAGGCCTGACAACAGGAGATGTATCACTCCTGTAACATTCAGCAGTCGCCTCATTGTTCTGACACACACAACAAAACTACACTACACACTAACTACACAAGATTTGCGCTAAACGTCTCAAATCTCTCACATCTCAAAGCACCGCCGTCACTCCTAAAACTTCCCCCCGTTTCTTAACAACTAGATGCCACGTTGCCATATCATTTTTTGATTGGTCGACATGGTACTTTTTTGGACGAATAGGAAAGGGAGAGGGGGGTGGAGTTTGTTTTTGCTCACAGGCTTTGAGCCTTTTTTCTTATAAAACGCCGTTTTTACCGTTTCTTCCCGCAGTAAATATAAACAACGAAGTATTCAGGAAGAAAACCAAACATTGCAGATATTTTTATCATAACTCTGGTTTTACGTGGCCTATCAACACAATTTAAAAACTGGTATAAAGTCCACACTTTTCCCGTCAATTGTTCCGTCTGTCCTGCTCACATCTCCAATGGTTGTACACGTTGTCATTAACGTGGCTTCACTCCACATCAGCCACGCCGCTTTGCTAGCTAAAACACCGGTGTCGGCACATAAGGACGCTGTCATAGCCTGTCAACGACGTTGATTAGCTGCGTATATACGAATGTGAATCACATTATTGGCTGGACTATGGGATAAGGTGGCATCGTTCTAATCCCATACGGGAGCAGCCAGTCACTCACTGACTAACACTGCAAAACAGAATTGTTGAAGTTTTAATTTCAATTCAGGTTAGATTTGTTTTGTGCGCAACGCAGATTTTCTGTGCGCAGAGACCGTGCCAGCAGTGTGCAATTGCGCACGTGCGCAGCTTAGAGGGAACATTGCTTGACAAGATAATGAACTTTGACTTTGCTATATAAATAAAATTTAATTGAAATTAATTATATCTAAATGTTGTCATTGTGATTGAAATTTATTTTATCTGTTGACCACATGTTTTAGTTTTATCACTTATGTGTCACTTTATTCTACACATGTGGGATAGCATTCAGTTTCAGCTTTATAGCACACCCTGCTAATCATCGTGAGAAAGTTGGAGACACTCAAGCGCCGACCATATAGAACAACAAGTAGAACAATCAAACTTTCCTCTCGTCCAGGGGAAGGCTGCAGGTCCCATAAAGGTAAACAAAAAATATACTCTCAAAATTACAGTTACAATTTTATATACAAACATTTTTCTTGTTCTTTTTCAGATTTTCAGCACAGCTTTAAATTGAGAACTCCTCCACTTTTGGAGTCAGGTGTCACTGCTCTCTGTGGCCTGTAAGACAGAATAAAATATCATGAAATAAAGATGTACATATCCATTACATAGCTTAAAGCCCAGGCTTTAGTAAGCAAAATTTACTCTAGAGGTAACAAGACAAGTACATAACTTCACTCATACCTTACACCAGCACTAGTCTGATCCACTACAGAGTAATAAGACATCTGTTTTAGGCCTAGCACAATTACATGGCCACTTCACTGAAAGTACTATGCATGACAGCCACTGCAAATTGAATGCATTTCTCAGAATGGAAGAGGCTAACTTTCAAAATAAAGAATATACATTAATTTTCAGGTCTTAAGCCACCACTCATTCCTTTATATTTTACTAGGAAATTGAAACTGGAAATAAGTGCAGCAATTTATTGAAATATGCAGTGTAGAACCCCCAGAACGCCAAACCTCTGAAAACCACCAGGGGGAGCCCTTTTGATCCCACCCTGCAACATCAGCAGTATTTACAAAGTCATTTCTTGAAGGAGAAGTTAATTTTCACCATACTTCTTAGCAGCCACTTTATTGATATCCAAACATGATTTATCATCTTTGTGATTTTGTGGCGTTAAACATGTTCCAGTACTTCCAAGGGTTGAAAACTAGGACTTACTATTGCAAAGAAGTGAGGCGTTCTGGATATTCCTGGATGATGACTCGTACTCAGTGTTATGTTGTAGCTTTTTCATGACCAGATTTTTTGGGGTGTATTTGGTTTGACGTTTCATTTGTATAAATTGTGATGTTTGCATTTTTCTAAAACATTGCACGTCACTGACTAAAGAATTTATAGAGCATTTTTGTAAACTAATGTTATACTTTTTATTCATGGATTCAAGTGAGAGTAGAGTTTTTAACAGTTTTGGATGAGAGGATGTTGTAAAATTATGCCTTGCGTCTGTCTAATAGCCAGGAATCCAGGAAGCCAGTGCATGAATCTAACTGAATGTATGTGCAAATGTTTGCATGCCCATCAGAGGGAGTTGTTCACTCTGTGTGCTCTTTTTAGTACTAATTTACATTTCTTTTAGCAAAAACTCCAAACTTGGCTCAATTCTAACTTGTCAGCTTTGGTGATTTGGTCTTCTGTCATTTAACTTGTGACAGTAAGTTGACTGCTCAAATAAATAAATAAATAAATTTGGAAAGAAAAAAAGAAATCGTGTCATATTCCTTTAACTCAAGAACATAAATGACAAATTCAATTGTTTTTAAATGAACCCTCAGGTATAGAAGCTTAATGCTGTCTTTAAAAAATGTTCACATTGATCCACATGATAGATTTAAAAGGAATGACAGCACATGTCCCTGCATTAATGTGTTACACTGTGTGATGACAGCTAACCTCTGACATTGATATACAGAGACATTATACTATAACAATTCTTTATAGTAAGTAGGAATGTCTGCTGAAGGCCAAAGACCAGTAATCTTACAATCCGGATAGAGGAATAAATATCTTCCTTCACTGGGAGCCCTGGGCCTTCACCTCCTCTGGAAGTCACTGTGGAGCTCAACAAGTCTGATTCTTCTGAAAACAAGAAGATCACATGTTTTACTTTAATGGAGAAATGATACAATAATCTGAGAAGACTTAAAAAAAAAAATTGAGCGAATTCTTTTTTTGAAAATATTTCAGAAAAATTAAAGAAACTAAGAAGAGATGAACAATTTCGGTTTTGACTGGCATTTCAGTTTAACATCTTGAGTAAGAGGATGAAGTTAAAGTTACTGTCTTACAGTGGCTTTAAATAGTAATATGATTTAAATGTACTGGCATCATTTTGAAAAGATCTAAAATGTAATAAAATCAAGATACTAACCTGGCTGGCAATTTTGTTGGGCCCCACGAATGGTTAAAGTGGAGTACACAAGTTCATCTGAAGAAAAAAAAAAGCTGTATATAACATAACCAATTATAAATACATATATTACAGGCTGAACTTTTATGCATTTTCTGTCTGTGAATTTATGCTGTGGTTTGACCCAAGGCAGGTTCACATTAGCACAAACACCAGATGGATGGAAAACAAAACCCTGCATATAACACATAGAGGGGAGGTAAAAATATCCCGCATGTATGCAGCATATCTCAAACGTCACATGATGACGCTACTGCTGCCAAATTTGACTCTCGTAATTCTCTGAGGTCAACCTGTTATAAATAACAAAAGTATTTCAGTATCTCAAAACAAGCAGTGCATGTTTTAAAAAGGTGTTATTAATTTAGACATACACATTTTATGTTTGTCACACTGAGATAAAAAAAATTATGCCAAAGGCATATACAACAAAATACAAAGAACCGCATCTTTCTAGCAATTTAAAAACAAAAATCAGTTGACACAATGACACTATTTTGCTCCAAACTACTGACCTGCTGTACTGGCTTCAGCAGAGTGTGATGTGCTTGTTAGTATCCTTTGTAAAAGCGATGAACAGAAAACAAGAAATCCTGACATGAACAGAGACACAGAGAAAGAAGATGGATTAAAGCTTATCATTCCAACATGACTATGTATATATGCAAAACAGGTGATTTCAAAAGTTAGAGTTCTAGCAGTAAATATCAGATTATCAAAAAAACCTCTAGTTTGCTTTGAAATGAAAGAAAATAAAGAAAAAACAGTAACAAACTTAATATTTACCTGCTGGATTGGCTTCCATTGAGATGGACGCTGCTGTTGTTCTCCTTTGTAAAGGTGATGAACAGAAAAGCAGAAATCCTGAAATGAACAAAGATACAAGAAAAATATGAATTAAAGTTTAGCTTTTTATCATGACAAAAAGTCAGAAAAAAAAGAAGACTAACAGTCATTCATACAACCATTTTCTGTTTAGTGGTTGGTCTCTCATTCCTCATCAATACTGTAGTATATAATTTCCTCAACCTCCTATGTGGACATCACATTTTGGATTGTCTAGACCACAATACTAAATTTTGCTCTACCAGGGCCTGATATCCACTTACGAGGATATTATACTTCCACTGTTCTATAGAAATTTAAAACAAATGCACTAACATGTGGATTTCATTTTTCTCAGAAACAAATATCAGGTAATTATTTGTTTTTACATTCATTAGGTCCCAATCAGCCCAAATAGCAAAGAGAAATTGAAAATGCATGCCATGAAAGAGTTCAGGTTTTAGGAGGTTAAACATATGGGCATGTAAGATTTCATTAAAAAGTTAAAACTAAAAAACACTAATTTAAAGAAAAAATGAGTTACAACACCCTTTGATTAAAGTTGTAAGCCAATATAGCAGTGAATTAAAAATAAGTAATCTATTGCAGTAATCTAGATACTAGATTACTACATGTTTCATACTTTGTGTTTCTTTGAGTCTTTTGCCTACAGTTTATTAGAGGTAGCAGTCATTTTTACCTGTGCCTTTCCCTGTATGAAGAAATCGAACCAGCAGAGTCACCAGTATCATGATCAAAATGATGATGGCAGTCCAAAGCAGGGCGATGACATATTTGTAGTCAGAACCATGAGGGCGAGTGTCTTCATGAGGCAATGCAGGTAACACTAGACACAGAATGTTTTTGTATTTATAAATTATACATATTGTAATAAATTAACAGAAAGAAATAAGCATTTTTAGAGAACATTTGTTCCAATGAATATACAGCATTCTCTCAATCTTCTTATAATTCCTTATTTATTTTTTGTAGTGAAAAAACAAACAAACTGAACTTTTCTTCCAAGTGTCAAATTACTAGATCTGATTATGTGTCTATACATTTACATTATTTTTCTTAAAGCCTAATAACGAGGTGTATCTGTTCTAATTGAAACTGATATGTTATTATGACTCACCTTTCATGGGCAGCCAGCTTTCCGGTGACTCTCCAACATCAGGGATGCTGCACTTGTAGAGACCTTCATTTAGCTTGGAAAAATTGTAAACGTTTATCTTTTCTACAGCTTTTTTTTCCAAGATGACATCATCTTTGTAGAAAAATGCAAAGTTGGTGGAAGTTGTCTTTTTTCTGCAGAGAAGAGTGACACTGCTGCCTTCAAGCACAGCAAGAGCCGGACTGTCCAGGATCACAGAACCACCTAAATATTTATAAAACATGATAATATATTTTTTTTATGTGCACTCCTTGTGATAATCTGAAAAGATTATTGAAAATTTAAGTGCGATAAAGAGATATAATAAACTACTACTACTATACACAACATTACAAGGTACAAGAACATACAAATAATAGTATTAAAACCCTTAAGAAGGTATTCGTAACTACCAATGGGATGAAAGCGAGTGCAAATCTATATTTTTTTCACAAATAAATAAGTTATAAATATACAAATCAATGAATGAATGAAAAACAAATTGATTTGCAGTATAAACCAGCTGTGATACACATACCTGTGACTGTGATGTTAACAGTATCACTTCGCTCTCCTCCTTTAGCCTCACACCAGTACTCTCCAGTGTCTCCTTGATAGACTTTATCAAACACACAGGAGGACCCTGATGATGTCTTCTTTGTTACACATGCTGGACTAAACGCTTCATTATTCCTAAACCCTCTCAGCTGAGTGGAGCCATCACAATGCAAAGACACAGATTCATATTCAAAGTGCTGCAGTCTGTTTGGAGTAACACGAGGGACAGCTGCATCTGAAATTAAGAATATATTAGTTACACAGCCGACTGTTAAAACTGAAACTGTGTAAATGCTTTTTTTAAACTAAAATGCCTTCTGGTATTATTTAGTAAACCAAAATTAACAAATCACTTTACCTAAAAATAATAATGAGATGTTTTAATGAAAAAGTAAAAATGGAGGATCCTAAATGATATTGTAAGCACATACAGAAGATGTTTTGGCTCTTTACATTGTTTATACAAAAAGAATGAATGAGTTCTAAATAAATTAATAAATTAAAAAAAATAAACAAACTCACCCTGATCCCACGTACAGCTTTTCTGAACTTCTGTTCCCAGCAGAATAAATTCAACCATCACTAGATAAACAAAAAAAAACCTCTTGATGTTTTTCCTCAAAAATTATTAACCTCGTCATATAAACTCATACAGAAACCTGAGACTAGACACTTACTCATCCTGAAGCACAGAGTTGTGACTGCCATGTTGTCCAGTTGACTGAGCATCAGGCTGAAATACAGCTGAAGTATTTGAGAGTTTCCTCTTCCTGTGCAGAGTTAGAGTCACGCTCACTGTAACCTCAGTCTATAAACAACCACAGCTGGAGTTTATATCCTCCTTTACATGTCATCACTTACTGTATTTACTCATCTCAAGAACAGGCTTTAAGGGAAGGTCATATTTTCTAAGATGATGAACTTACAGTTTTACTCTAAAGAATACATGGCATGGAAACCTGATTTAGGCCACTATGACAATTAGTTCTTTAATTTTGAGAGCCCACTTTTAGCTTTTGAGCCATGGACCTGTAGCATAAATGGAGAGTTCAAAATGATGACTTCTCTGACTTTCTAATGCCATTTATTTTTTAATTAATTTAATTTAAGCTAATACTAACAAGCTTGCTTAGAAAGTGTATCTGTGAATTTAACCATAGTAGGGCCATAAAACATACTAACACTGAACTATAAAACCAGTGCAGAGACTTTGTGATTGGCCTGATATAATTAACTATGCTGCATTTTTAACCATATATTATTATTGCAGATAATTAAATGAAAATTCCATATAAGTTAACCAAGATCAGAAACACTGCAGATCTTAATAAGTTAGGGTGAAGAAAGCAGACAGTGTTTTGCTAAAAGCACCTGTGCTGGGACACCTGTCAATTAAAGGTCACATATCTTACTTTGGAAACAAGGAAATGATACACCATTTTTTTGTTTTTTGTTTTATACATGACTGTATATATGATTTAATTTTTCTGTGAGTTTTATCTTGCTTTTGGAGCCAGCCTTAATCAACTGCGGTACTTCAGTCTTGGCTTTATTTTTAAACACAGGGGGGTTTGCTTGGACCTCAATGATAAAAAATAAGGAAATGTACCATTATACTGGACAAGTGTCGTCTTTAAGTATTCCTTGTGCATCACTGGACAACTTTCAGTATATCTGCTATTTTTTGAATATCTTGGCAAATGTCTTTTAGGTTCCTGGCAAATGAACAAACCGTTATCTCAGCGTATTAGCCCAGTGTGGGGTATATGCTATTGATTAGAATTATTAAGCATGTATTTAACATAACCAAACCAATGATCGAGATACCCATCAAGGGTTTCAAACCCAGTTACAAACATGTTTGTATCTTAAATAATCTCAGTGAGTACATATTTGACGACTTCATGTCTTTAGTTTTCTTACAAAACCAAACATCAGAATTTGATCCTTAATGAGTTACCAAGTTAAAACAAAATCGTTTTAATGTAACATATACACAATGGAATTCAGTCATATTTTGAAGCATACAGTTTTAACAAAAGCTACTATAGAGTGAGATGCAGGGTACAGCGCACCAGTCTGTCACGGGGCTAACACAGAGAGACAGACAACCCTTCACACCTATGGGCAATTTAGAATTACCAATTAACCAAACCCCACTAACTGCATTTCTGTGAACTGTGGGAGGAAGCTGTAGTACTTGGATAGAACCCACACAAACATGAGGAAATATGTGAACTATGCAGGCAACTGGATAGTGTAGTGGTAAGACTGCACACCTTTAGAGTGGGAGTCGAAGGTTAAGGTTCTTTATTTGTCACATGCATAGTTATACAAGTATAACACACAGTGAAATGTAGCCTGACACGCTCCTTGACATGAGCAAAAATTGGGGGGGTGGTGGTTTAATGTCACCCGGTATCCAGTAAGGGTCCTGGCTACACCCCCATGCTAAAACCAAGTCCTGGAATGGCACAGCTACCTCTGCAGCCTGTCCATAGCTCAGCATACCTTTGGCAACTAGGATAGGCTCCAGTCCACCCCCCACAACCCCGAATTGGATAAGTGGAAGAGAATGGATGGATGTGTGTGTGTGTTTTGTTTTGTTTGTTTTTTTGTTTGTTTCACATGCAAATGTTCACACATTTACATTACATTTAATGTCATTTTGAGATTCACACGTGATTGTTTGTTACTTTAATTAAAATTCTTCCTCTCAATTTAAGACTATATCTTTCTGTGTCACAAAAGTTTGAGCCAGGTTGTGAAAGTGAGTACATTTAAGTCTGAAACGTAATGCAATACCACTGATTAAAAGACAAATATTAACACTGTAACCCAAAGGGACGATTTAAAAAGTGCAATTTTGGTGGAGTTCACGACAGGTTGACCATTTTAAGACTGTAGGCTGTCACTTTGTTTGGGTGCCTTTGAACATTTTTTGTTCTGAATTTCTGTAACTACAACATTAAGTCCTAAAAGGAATAGTGCACTGTGTGTGTGTGTATTCCAATATTAGGTAAAATATCAAAAATAGTAATGTATAAAAGATTGGCAAAGCTGATAAAACACTTTCTATGTAAAGTACAAGTATGTTAAAATACAGAACAAGATTGTCATGTAAATATTCAATGCATATTTGTCAGACTAAAATTTTTCAGATCATCAAACTAATTTTAATATTAGACAAAGATAACCTGGGTAAATGCAAAATTCAGTTTTTAAATAATCATTTCATTGATTAAGGGAGAAAAGTTATATAACCTACCTGATCCCATGTGAAAAATCATTGACCCTCTTGTGAAATCATGAATTAACTGTGATTAACCACATTGTTTGGAAAGCTCAGTTTAGAGTTCAGTTTCGCTGAACACACTGAGGGCTGATTACTGGCTGCCCTGTTGAATAAAGAAATCACTTAAATACAACCTGTCTGACAAAGTGAAGCAGGCTAGATCAAAGGCAAGATATAAAAAAGCAACACATCATCCCAGGACCTAAAGAAACCCCTGAGAAACAAAGTCACTAATATCTATTAGCAGAGGTGGGACCAAGTCATTGTTTTGCAAGTCTCAAGTAAGTCTCAAGTCTTTATCCTCAAGTCTCA